GCGTGAGGCAGGCGAGCTTTCTCCCCCCCTCCCCCCCCCCGCAAAATTTGGCCGGAAAATAAACTGTAATAAAAAAACTGTGATAAAAAAAACCGTGATAAAAAATATATAATTTTTAATAAATAATTAATAATAAATAATAAAAACATCTCACTAACTTCATTTCCAAATAAATTTAATATGTTAACTATGTTTTCTATGGTTTTTTGGGATGATCGGGTATCGTTACTGTTATTTTATTTTATGTGCGGCCCAAACCAAATTTTCATCTTCTAATGTGGCTCAGGGAAGGTGAAAGGTTGGACACCCCTGGTGTACAGAGAACAATAATAAAGTGGAGAGGTTTCAATGTTGGATTAAGAGCTGGGAGACCCAGGTTCCAACCCATTCTCAGTCACTGATACTCATTAAGTGACACTGGGCCTGTCACTCTCCCTTAGCCCAATCTCCCACACGGGGATTGCTGTGGGGAAAAGAGGCGGAGGGAGCACTGCCTTGAGCTCCTACAGAAAAAGGTGGAATTTTAAATCTAACAGATAAACAAATACTGCCCTTTACAAAATGTTGGAATCTTAGGAGAAGCTCTGGCCTACTCATTCGGGGCATTCCAGAGTCCATAGCCACAGGGCATCCATCTGCAACTGAACATAATTAACTCTGCATGTTATGAAAAGAACAGTTCAAGTGACTGAAAAATTATCTTAAACCCAGATTTAATCATTAATCCCAGCAAAGGAAACTGTATGTATTTCTAGGTACTTGCCTTACCTATTTAGAAATGGGGAAGCACACAATTCAGATATGTTATCTTAACGCACCTGTTTTGAATATTTTCTAGTTTCTCATATAGCTGTGGCTTCTTAGTTGCCTCTATTACATTTGGGGTTTTCTCAGCATCATAAGCCAGTTCTTTAAAGTCAACATCAATTCCCTCAAAACGTTTGGAATCCTATAAATGAGAAAACATTTAAATACTGATTTCTTGCATCTGTCTCTCAAAGGTGTTTATTATTACTACACATCCAAATCTTTTGAGCAGTGCCTTATACCAAATATGTGACAGGATGCAAATCATGATGAGGAATTCCTCTCCAAACATAACCCAGCCACCTCAGACTTATAGCTACAGAAAACACCATAAATTCTAGTCTGGAAATTACAAGGTAGGCAATGACCATTTATTTAGCAAAGTCTGTGCATCATCCATTTTATCCTTTGCAAGAGCTCAAGCAACTTTTTATCATGGTATATTTGCATCCTTTACTTATGCCATCTTATCCAGCAGAGCTGTCTACATTAAATATTTAAAAATCGTTCACATTGCTTTCACTGTCATGGTTTCCCCAGAAGAATTGTAATCCAGGGAATTTAATTGCTTTCCTCAGTTTGAAGCTGCACAGGTTTATTAGCACTGCAATTCCAAGATTTCTAATAATGATGGTTTTTACCTCAGGAAGTTGCGCCCGGATATCTTCTGACCCAATGAATATGCTTTCTAAGTGAGACCAGCTCCGTTGAACTTCAAACCAGATGGAAATGACCGAGTCTGCTGTAGACAGCTTCCTCTGCCAGGAGGACACTTCCTCTAAGAAAAAAGCAATATATTTGGATGTAATTAAGTTTTGTAACTGCACTTGGTTGTCTTCAAGTGTCTCAATGAGCTCTTCATCAGATTTCAACAACGGGACATTTGTGCGTGGATGAGGCTCATATTGAAACACCATGCTAGCCCAGGTTGTTTTAAGTTCTTTCACAACTTTCTCCATGCTCATTTCTTTCATGGCTTTGTCAACGATGCTCCGAACTTCATCTTCAAAACTATGCAAGTTGAGTTTGAGCAGGTCTGCCAAAGTGGTGTCTGCATCCATGGTGAAGTACACGCCTGTGGCTTGCATCAGTTGGTTCCAATGTCTCTCCCGGATGGCAGGATTTTGCAGTTCTGACACTGCCCTCAAGGAGGTCAGGATGTTTTTCACCTTGTTGTCCAACCCTGAGAAAGCATCCCAAGCTCTCATTTCTTTATCCAAGTTCCGGATGCCTTTGGCAAACTTTTTGCATTCCAGCTCCATATTTTCAACATTGATATCCATCCATTTCGTAGCTTCCCATTCATTCATGCTAGATATCACTATGGAAATCATATCCCAGAGTTCTTTAAGAATGCACATTTCCTTTCGGCACTGCTTGAGCTGTTTGTAGTCTGGAACATTGACTTCAAATAAAGCTCCTGATTTATAAATTGAGGTCATGGTAAGTTCCATCTGCTGTAGCTCTGCATGGGTTGCATCTAGCATTTCATAAGGGTTTGTAGCATCAAACCTACGAAGCAAGTTTTGACTCGGTTTAATCAGTTTTGTGTACTTTTTCCCCTTACAAACGCAATTAAATGCTAAACATTAATGACTAGTGTGTAATCAAGCGGAAATTAAAGAATATGGTATATCCAACTGCATAAGGAAGAAATATACACAACTATCATTTGCCTTCCACCTCACACTTTCTCCTGACTTACTTGTTGCACCTGCTCCTATCTTTCCCGAATGTTGATTCAAAATAATTTCGGAACCATAAACTTTCCATCTGGGGGAGGGGTAGTAATAAAAGACAACAGGCAACAAAACGTATTAAATTTCAACCTCAGAAAGCTGTTCTATAAAAATTAGAGGCTGGAATCTCTTTCAGAATTCTGCTTCCTGAAGTAAGATTAACTGTGCAGCAAAACCCAGAGGACAAAGGGCCAGAAGTGTAGCCTTTTAGCCATTAACTGACCAGGAAATTTCAGGAGTGAGTTGGGTCAAACTGAGGTGACAACACCATTTAAGTATTTCATACCAGGCAAGGAAAAGGCCAAGACCAATGCATCAGAACTGCAAGCAAAGTGCAATGGCAAATAAAAGGTAAGACATCAGTAATACCCATGCCAGGAGCAAAAAGATACCGCATGCCTATCTTTCAATGACAGATATGGAAAGATGCTACAAAATATTTTAACCTTCTCTTGCTATTTGGCATTGAGAACACAATAATTGCAATAATAGGATACTGATTCCAGTGCACAAAACAAGCCAAATAAATGGGCCTCCCCATTACATAAATGATTTGTTCTCTTTATCTTGCCACCAGATAAATATATGCTACCCTTGGTAAACCCACAAGACTTCCATTGCTTCACAGCAGTGATTTGCCCTTACCTGAAAGGCGCCTCTTGATGAAATCTTTCTCTCAATTTATTCTGCTCCACATCAAACAGAGCACATTTCCTGCGAAGTATGGCCACTTCGTTTGCCTGCAAGGGAGCTACCTGCTGTTTCATATTTATGGCCAACTTCTTCACATTGTTCCATTTTTCGGGCAGTTCCTGGAAGCAAAAAATAAATAAATAAAATTATACTGGTCGCTTTAAAAAAAGTATTTTATTTCTAATATGGTGCTTAGGTACTTTGCTAGTTATATGTTTTTCTCAATAAATATTGTTTCCCTTGCTTTTTTAATTAGGGAAAATCTACATCTTGCATCCCATTAAGAAGCAGGGAATAGTTTTTCATAGTCTTCAGTGCCCCTCACTGTCTTCCTCTTTATCCTACAATTCATATTTCTGTGTCATGATCTTAATGCGTGTTATTAGATTAGTAACAAGCAAAGAAGAGGTCTTTAAATAGAATAAATGTGGCATGTTTTAAAATAATTATGTCTACAAAAATTAACTTCAAACTGCCATTTCAGCAGAAGAAAAGCAGTTAAGGGGCTGAAAATCTAGATGCATAGCCCATTTCTAGATTTTTTTTCTCTCAATTCAATAGAAATGCTATGTAATGCAGATATATCAGGACTGCAGCATCCATTGGCAATGTTTGCTAATAATTTAAACACCAGTCCTATCTCACCTTGTGAGAACTTGTTTGGGAGAACTGTTTTATCATTATGAGGCATGCAACTATGTGCATATCACACAGATTGAGATGTCTACTCCATTCTTTCTTCAGAAAACTCAGAGTGATTTACACTGTACACACTGACATCTCTCATCCTGACACTGATTATACCTTCTTAGCTCCATTACCACTCCTGGGGTCAAGGATTCAATGACCCTTCTCTGGAACAGAACAGTATCCTTAAATCAGTCAGTGAGTTTTTGCTAAGTTCACTTATTTGCACCTAGGATTTCACCCACCTCCAGTTGTCTATAGACATCCCCAGGCAATTCTTGCTCATAATTCTTCAATAATTCAATAGTTTGTTTCAAGGGCTCAAACATCTCATCAGTGCTAGACTGTCTATCTTTAACAGCCATCAGTTGACCCATAACTTCCACCAAACCTTCATAATCTCCTTTCTCCAACTTTTTGTTCAAACCTTTCTCAGCAATCTTTGCAAACTCCTCAAGGTCAGACAAACTAAAGGCAGAGCAGAGGAAACAATCACAGAAAAAACAATATGTTGAGAGCAATAAATGTGATAACAAAATCTATCATCCTTCAAGCAAATAACTGGAGAAAATGTTTACCTTAGCAAAAAAAGAAGAAGACCTAACCTGGCTGCAAAATTATAAGGGCTCCTACTCAGCAAATCACCTGAACAAAAGAAAAAGGCAGCAATGCAATCCTAAATCTTGGACTACGGGTGCGGGGCAGAAAGACCATGCATGACAAATGAGCTGTCAATTTCCAAAGCCCAGTTGCCTAACAAAGGGCTAGGACAAATAGGGAAGGCAGGTTGCCCACAGTCTCTTTTCTTTTTTTGAAATTGAAACTTTTTCTACATTTTTTATCACAACCATAGGGAAAATATGGAGAAAGAAATGGGTGCAGTCCTTCGGTCTTAAGAGTAATTGAAAGAAGTGTAGAATTATTGGGTTCCAGATTGCTTTCAACAAGGGTAGGTAAATAAGGTGTATTTTAGTAGCCATTGCTTGTAGCAACATTTGCCCAAGATTACCTGCCCAAGGGACTGGGAGAAGTCCAAATGACTCTCTTGTTACCTGCTTGTATATGATTTAAAGTTCTAGAGCAGGGGTGACACCCTCGTGTCATCACGGCATCATCATGTGACATGTCACAACTTTTTTACCTTTCGCTAAACTGGGCGTGGGCATGGACAGTGCATGACGCATCCAGCCCACGGACCGTGAGTTTGACACCCCTGTTCTAGAGCAGGGGTGGGCAAACTACGGCCCGGGGGCCACATCCGGCCCGTTGGTCTTTTTAATCCAGCCCGCTGAAGATTGGTACAGAATTAAGGTTTGATGTGAATGATTGAATGATTGCATTCATTTGATTTTGACTTGTAATGACAGGCATTTCAACACCAGGTGGCGGCCCATCGTTCAAATTTTAAAAGTCAATGAGGCCCCCGAGCCAAAAAGTTTCCCCACCCCTGTTCTAGAGAGATTGCTGCTATCCCTATTCTTTGGGCCATGGCAGTGATTCTGACTCAACAGAGGCCATTTGCCCAGCACTGCATCCATCTCCTGGACTGATCCTGGACAGTAATTCCAGAAGAATTTGCCCTCTGATGGTTCCTGAAATATTAACTTAAATTCTTGCTACTAGACTTTGTAAACCCTAAACCACTTAGGATTTGCATATCTAAGGGGCTCTCTTTCTCTTTTATTATGAATTGTTCAGCTGTTAAGATCTTGCCCTTTTGAAAATACCTCTGCTTGAAAAGGTGAATTTTCTAACTTTCAGAAAAGAACCTTCTCTTACCCAAATCTTAGGCTATTCGACACATTCCCCCAGAATTTGTACTTAGTGTCTATGCTAATAAGAGCAGATAAGATGCATGTTTTTTTTGCAAGGTACTTCATTATTAAGTAATGTTTATCTTGGTGTAGTAGCTAAGGTATCAAACTAGAAACTGGGAAACCATAAATACTAGTCCAGGAACAAAGCCAGCTGGGTGACCTTGGACCAGGCACTTTCTCTCGCCCTGGAAAGGAGGCAGTGGCAAACCACTTCTGAAAAACCTTGTCAAGAAAACTGCAGGGACTTGTCCAGGCAGTCTCTGAGAATTGGACACAATTGAATAGAAGCGGGAAAATACATTATTTGTTTTAATTGATATCTTTCCTGACAAAGTAGAAAGGTGGGATTATAAAATATGTAGATTGACATCATAGATACTAGGCATGCCCGTGAATCTTTTGAGAAACTCCATCAAGGGCTTACACCGGCCTGATGTCTGATTTTTTTCAACATAGACCGCCCAGTCCTTGAATGGCTGGGTGGACTAGACATTAACATTTGAACTACTATAAGTCCATGTATTTGCCATATGCTAAATAAATTTTGAGAAACTTACACCCTCACCAACAGCAGAATGTCTATCAGCCAGCAGGCTAGTTCTAAATATGCATTGGCCCTGAAATAAATCTGAATTCAAATTCCATTTGTAATGGAGAGGTGGAACCAGGAGACTTGATATAGTAAGGTATGTGAGAATTAATTTTCTAATGGTAAGTGTTAAACAATGGTCTCTGTTATGCCATCTAAACATAACTTTAAAAGCTATTCGTGAACTTTTTTTCTTTTCTTTTTTGGCTATCAGCTCAATAGCCCTTAGCCAGGCTAGAGAAGTGGGGTGAGTCCCAGCCTCCAATTCAGAGGTAATACATCGAGAAATGCCCACTGCTGGAAAGCCACAGAAACAGATAGTTCTCTCTTTAAACCACATGGACAAAAAAGGACTACATGGCTCTTTTCCCATTCTAAAGAAAGAATAGCAGCTTGATCATCTTTTTGCACTGAAGAAACATAATTGATTTGACAAAATAAAAATTGGATCTTTTTTCTCAGAAAAAAGATCCAATTTTTAGAAAACATATTTGATATGTTTATTTATTTTTTTCCTGAAAGGGATGGGCAATTGCTTGCAATGTTCCTTGGGCTCATTCTTCTCCACTCTTGAAAGCTGAAATCCAAAACATGTTAAATGTATATATTCAAAGTTAATGTAAGTAAGATAAAATGCCAGTAAGTCTACAGAACTCCTGAAGTTACTCATTATTTGAAAAACTATGGCATGATCTTCTCTTGGAAATAATCAGGCATTCTCATTTCATTATTATTTTTTTTGATGATTCTATGCTCATAATTTGGAAATATAATTAGTGTCCCTCAATAAACTACAATTACGGCATGATATTTCCAACTATATCCCACAAGACCTCACAGAGATTGCTGTACTGTTATCCCTTCAACAAAGATTCAGTCATTGTCATTTGATTATTGTTTTGCTGCAACAATTAGTCATGACATTTAAAGCATAACCATGGGAGTACACAAAAATAGAAAGGACTTTAAACCAGCATTGAAGACATTTAATAGTGACACTGCCTTTCCCTTCAGATCATGAAATTATGCATAGGATGAGGCAATTACAAGAAAGAAAAAAAGAAAAAACTAGCGAAGAATCCACCAAACTAATGCTCCCCAGATCATTAGATTACATTAGATTTCCATAATCAGACCTAACTTTAGGAAGTGCTCCAGCTGGCATATTTTAGAAAATATGAGATTCAGTTAAGTGCATAGTAACACTTAGTAATTACAGTGATTCTGGAGGTGAAGAGGTTGCAAAGCTGTGGCAAACAATGGCTAATCAATCCCAAAGATTGGAACTTCCCTATCTTGATCTAAAGGTAGCTTGTATGCATCAGTTCCAGTCTACTGTTGGTGTACAACTTGGGAATAAATTCTTTTATATTGTCTTCTTTGAGAAAAGTAATGATCAGCTGACACTGCTCTACTTTTCTATTTATCTTTTCAATTTTACCATTAATAAAACATTCCCCCGTCTCCACAATCATCCAGTCTCTAATGTTTTCTTAATAAAATCTTCCAACCCATAATTATTACATGTTATATTACCTTCTTTATTTTTGTTAAAATTAAAACCTTTTAATATTTAGAATATTTAGAATCAGCATGCTATCCATTTGTTAGGCATTGGCCATGCTAATTAAACAGCTTTCCCCCTTTGGAAAATGTATAATTGTTTCCCCATAGTTTCTTTTTTCTCATGCATATATCTTTGGAATTGTAGTAATTGTAATTGCCCGAACTAATTCTTCTCATTATTTGTTAGTGTGGGTATTAACTGTACTAATTGTTCCAATCATATGTGAATTTTAATTCCACCCAAGTAGAAATCACTCCAGCAAATGGGCATTTGCTATATGTACAATGCTCACTTAAAAGATCATGGAAATAAGATCTCTGAAACTAATTCAAAAGCCAAACAAATAAGCAAAAGTGATTCCATGTGGGAATAGAAGAATTGGTTTGAAGGCATTCAAGGACATTTTTAAAAACAGACAAATGAAAAATGGCCATGAGTTAAATGTCTGACTGAGAACATTACATCTATAGTCATTTTAAATCGAGAAAATCCAGAAAAAATGACATTCAACAGGATCCCAAAGAAGAAAAACACTAGGATTCACAGAACATCAAACTGATCTCTGCCTGGTCAAGTTTTGTAACACACGCATGAACAAGCAGCTGGTGTTACAATGAGAGGAAATCGGCCGAACTACAAGATATTGAGGGAATTTTTGGACTTTTTCTTAAACACCACCATTTTTTTTGTACAACTTACATTTACTGAACCTACTTGCTTCCTGAAAAGAGAGGGAAACCACAATGCCAGCTATTTTAAAATTGGATTGATGTACACTGGAGTGCCACAAGAAAGAAGCCTTGGGTCTAGATGTTCATCCATTCCTTTTTTAACCACATTTGCTACTTAACATAAGAGACCCAAGAGGAGCAAGAAAAGTTGTGGTACCTGTGGGTCACATGATCAATGAGATGCTGCTTGAACATGAAACTCCATTTTTTAATTACACCCAGAAGAGATGCTTTGAAGGAGCGGGCGTCCACTTTCATCCAGCTGTCAAGTACACAGACTGGTTCCAGGTGGCTCACTTCTTCATAGACCTTCTCATAAGAGTCTATTTGCTCTCTGAACTGCTGGAGTGTCGGAGGGGTTTCTGGGACTCCTTCCTCCGCATGGACTTCTATCTCCTCTGCAGTGAGAACGTGGCCATATAAGAGGAACTGATGTAAGAATTCTTTTCTGTCATCCACATAGAGATAGGAGTACTGGTCAAAGGACTTGCGGTAGTTGCAACAAGCCGAGATCATCTTCTGGATACGCCCCATTAAACTTTGGCGCATGTCAGCAAGGTCAGCCATCTCCTCCATGTCAGCCTGTCAGGAGGCAGAAATACAACCCTGAACTAAACAGAGGAGTGGAGGCACAGATTCACATGTAATATGGGGTTATGGCCACCAAGGATCAAACCTGATAATGAGGAAATGTGCAGTGATCTGCAAGCCTTGGTACCAGGGAAGAGACCCGGTAGATCTTGTTGACGAGCCCTTCAATGATATCATAGAAACCATCACTGGCACCAGCATCCAGGGAAGGACGAAATATCATCTCAGGGACAGACAACTCCAGCTGGATTTTGAAAAGAGGAGCATTCCCTGCCCTGGACTCTGCAGGATAAGAAGGCATGTAATTGGTCTGCTGACAGTTCCTTCCCACCTTTGCAGTGAAACACTACTACCACTTTCCACAGCTGGGCAGGCTTCAGATATCTTGGATTACTAGTTTTAGAGTTCTCAGACAGTCCAAACAAAGGCCATGCTGGCTATAAAGTCTAGGAACTGCAGCCTAACATGGATGAAGCAAGCAGCATCTCAGCAGTACAAGGTCAACCGGTCCACAAGGCCATGTAAGTCAGGACTAATTTTATCTGAATGTTCCTCCCCTTTCACTTTAACTTCATGGAAACAAGGATGAGGCTTGTCTGATATGCTTTTCAAGCTAGTTCCTTGGCCCAGGCTGAAGATCCATTTATGTGACCATTGCTTTGGTAGCAGCTTTTTCTCCTATTCTTCAAGGCCATTTCTCTATGTCCTCTACAGTGCGTTAAATGAATAGATATGGAGATCAGCATAATTTGGGCGGGGGGGGGGGGGGTGTTTCATACCTTCAACTTTAAACTCTTATTTCTGATCACAGCAAAATAAATCCAGCTACAAAGTCTTGTTTTCACAGCCCAGATCTCTTGTAATCCTAATTCTGCACACTGCATCTGGATTAGACCATGAAGTTCCAATATTTGCTCTGCCTCCATTATATTCACAATAGAAACAACAGTATTGAAAAAACCACTCCCAAAATAAAGGAGAAAGGAGAAAGGACAAGTTCACCTGTATTTTCCAAAAGGTATTTAAGCGAACATTCAATGACATTAAAGAATCCATCCAGAATGATCTCATCTATATGCTCCAAATAAGCTTTCCATACATCTGAAGATGGGTCTGCTTCAAAGAGTCTTAAATTTTCCTAAATATAAAGAAATCATAATCAAAAGACATGTGCTTTGAACTTGCCTCAGCACTGATTGGAAAGGTAGAAATGACAATACCTAATATTCCCTTTTACTTTTTCAATATATTTCTTTTAATCTAGCTGATACTGCTTAAGGGAATCATACATTCTGGTGTGACTGTAGCTATCATGTGTCCTATGGGCCCTGCATATTTAGTGGCCTGGAAAGTGTTTAAGGATGATGCTTCAGCTTGCATAAAGGAAAGAACAGGAACTATTAGTCCAGATCATCCCTAATTGTGCTTAATACCAATACTCAAATATTTCAGTACCTTCTCTCCTCATTTGCTGCCTAATCTTTTATCTGAAGATGTTAAGTGGATCTCAGATCTTCTTCCTATGAATCTTTTGAAATAATGCCACCACCATTTTTCCAGAGTTTCTACTGACTATCCTTTGAAAACCTGGTTCAATTTTATTTAGAATTTCATTATCTGCCAAACATTAAAGGCAGCAAGACATATTTAGATGTTTGTGAGGAGGGGATTTTAAGTTTGACCCTTGTTCTCACAATCAATTGATTATCTGGATTATGCTGGTTTTTGACCATAATAAAGCTTCTATTTGAGTTTATTTTCTGGAATAATTCATATTTAACAATAGTGAAGAAGCATGTTTTTGTTTTATGTTTGGCTCAAAAAGGGAGTAATATTTTATATCTGATTATTAGTAATAATGCCTTGAAGACTTTTAAAGAGGGTAAAAAGAATAATATTGCCTAAAAGCTACCTTAATGTTTTTAATTGATCATTTCCCAACTTGGACCTAATCTTTTGGCAATTTTGGCAAACCCTACAATTCTGAATATAATTGAAGAAGTATTTGGGAGGCTAAACCAATAATCACTTGACAATTGAAGAATCTTATTTAGATAATTTTTGACAATTTACAAGAATATAAGGATAAAGAATTGGAGTCAGGTAACTTATAAATTCTGGTAATAAAATAATAAAATAAAATTTTAACAAGTCAGTCTTGGGTTTTAAAGAATATCAAATAGGTTTTTCATGGTCTTAAGATGAGACTAGTTCACCAAAAATAGATTATATACAAAAAAGAGGGAAAATACAAAAAGTATTTACCAGATTTTTTTCCCTCTTCATTCTGAGTAGTATGACTTTTTGTTGTCTCTTCTAAGTTTATATTTTTAGTAGGTTTTTGTACTTCCGTATTTTACATATTTTGTTTTGTTGTGAATACATGCAATAAAATCAATCTACACCGAATAATGAAACATCTATTCCAGATACAATTTCAGAATCTTTCTATTTAATCAGAGACATATTGATTTGTAGGTGTAGCTTATATCCCAACCTGCTCAAAATGCAAACAGGTGTATATGATGAAAGTGGCTACCAGTCTCTGACCTGGCCCTCCTCGTGTAATGTTAATATAAATGCATATTAAAATGAGAGCAGGGATGAGATATTTCATGTGTATAACTAATATTTTTGGTCATGGGAACAAAACACAGATGACTTTTTCTAAGAGATTAACTATGTCCATACATGCATTATCATACCTTAATCAAAAAATGAATCTTATGGCCTGAATCTGTAATGAGTTTATAGTGTTTGTTCAGTCGCTCATGCTGATTATCCAGGTTTAGCAGAGATTCTTTTTTCCCATCTTTTCTTTCAAAAACTGGAAAGACCCAAGATTTCATCATATTCTGAACTTCCTCGATGTTGTCTTTGGTCTTCTGAATCATTTGCTCAAGATTTCGAACACTGTTAACCATGTGTGAAATGCGATCCCAAAGGCCTTCCAATAAAAGCAACAAGGGAGAACATTTTAAGAAGCTAACAATGACAAGTCATCCCATCTATAAAACTGAGGTGGAAAAAATCATTTCTTGCTGTGCTCTTACTGAAAGGCCAGATGGCGTTCCCTTAGGAAACAAATGAATTGCGAGAAAATGTTACTGAACATGAGCTGTTTTTCTCTACATAAATATAGCCTTTGCATGACTACAGTGTAATTTTGCCAAAGCAAAAATAATCTAATACAGAAGGTCAAAAACATATCTCTCATTATTATACAACCTTCAACATTTAATTACAACTACCATTACTATTTTTTAAAAAAATTTAGAAGAGAATCTTACCCATTTATTCCATTCCAGCCACTCAGAAATGAATCAGCACCAGCATCACTTCCTATCCTCCAAATATTTCTTCTCTTTCTACCCTCTTGGGGTCTTTTCAAATGCCAAAGACTTGTGTTCCCTGACTATTAAAAGAGGAAAATAAATGCCCCAACACTCAAGCTAAGTTCTCCCTTAATACTTGGTTGAAATGGACAAAGCCCTGTAGACACCAGGTGACTGCAGTGCACAGAGGACACCAGGAAGAAGAAAGTACGTGGGTTTTTTTCACCCAATTTGGTAACATCCACATTCATCAGCAGAGGATAAAGGGTGAGCAAGGGGAGCTTTCTGAAGAAGACCCAGCTCGGCTAAAAGATCAGAAAGCGCTTTATTCCTATCACATGCAACTCTACAAGTGGAGCTTACCTTTTGTTTTCCAATTTAATGTTTCTTCTGCTTCTTTCAGCTGAATATCAATTTCATGCAACTGACTCTCTATGAGTGGATATTCCACCTCTAGGACAGTGCACAATGTTTTGTTGTACCAAGTAACCATTAAATCCAAGTTGGCCACTAATTGCCTGAAGGATTCCCTAGATGAATATATTTCTGCTGCTGTTTCTGGGATGTTCCCAATCTGATCTTCTCCAAGGTAGCTCACTTCTCTTAGAACGGACACCAACTAGGAAATCACAAAGTAAAATAAAACCTTTGAAACTTTTTCACTGGCATCCTCTTTTTTTCTATAAAAAGTTGCATTTCTTCTCTTCTCTCTCTGTATATCTATTTAGAGATTCAATTATAGAACTTCCTGAATAACCAAATAAGAATACAGGGAGAAAGTTTCCTGCACCTGTTTCTGCCAAAAAGAAGAGGGAGAAGTCTTCCAGATCAACCAGAGAAGTCTTCCAGAAGATTCTTTCATCTTACCTGAGGGTCAAAATTGACAGTAATCAGTTTATTCTCTGGATCTCGTCGGATAAGCGGTTGAGTGAGATTATACTGAGCTTTCACAGAGACAGTCTGGAACCAGTCTTCATACAGCTTCTCTTGATATCTGCCAGAAGACCAAGCAATCATATCAACACTGTCTATACACTGTCAACAGTGTTATTGGAAGAGATTTCCTGCCTATATTGCAAGCAAAGCTGAAGTGAAAAATTGTAGGTGGAAGTGCTTGCCCTTCTGTCCCTACTATCTAGAAAACTACTTGGCTCCTTCCTACAAAGTCATTTCTCCAAATAACCACCACTGCTAGAAGACTCCAAGCTTGCTTCTCAATCAACTTTCAGCTATTTTACACTTACACCATATAAACACAATCCAATTTGCAAACGGAATCACAAGAAACATGGCTCAAAAACAGTAACTGTGAGAGGGATCTTGGAGTCTTAGTGGGATGGTCACTTAAACATGAGTCAACAGTGTGCTGCAGAAGCCAAAAAAGTCAATACAATCCTTGGTTGTATAAACAAAGGCATAGAAATAAAAATCAGGTATAGCATTAGTATCACTTTATAATGCCTTAGTAAGGCCACACCTGGAATACTGCATCCAGTTTTAGTCACCACACAACAAAAAAGATGTTGAGACTTTGGAAAAAGTGCAAAGAAAAACAACTAAGATAATTAAAGACCTGGAGATTAAAACATATGAAGAATGGTTGCAGGATTAGGGTTTGACTAGTCTAGAGCAGGGGTGTCAAACTCAAGGCCCTTGGGCCAGATCCAGCCCGCGGTGTGGTTGGATTCAACCCACAGGGTCATCCTGGTCTACCCAATGCAAAGAGCCAGCATAGCTTCGGACCGGTCTACCCAGTGCAAAGATGAGTCAACCTTGATCCTGTGAGAATCAAACTGCCAAACTGCTGGCAGCTGGCAATCAGCAGAAGTAGCCTACAGTATTGCACTCTAACCACTACACCATCATGGCTCATTGCTCATTGCTATTGCTATTTATTAATAAAGGAGAATATCTGTAGCTCAGGGTTGAAATGAGGGGTCCTTGGTGAACTCTGAGCTTGTTTTCTTACAGACATTTCATTACCCATACCAGGTAGCATCTTCAGTGCTTTTATATTTATTATTCCCAAAGGGCCTTCAGCATCATATTACATTGTTGATATCACATGTGTAAAAAACATTTCTAAGACACTTAACTTAGTTAATTAAGCAACTAAGAAAAAAATATTTGGATAAAATTAACCCCCAAATCCTTATTAGCTACATATTGCACCAAACCAATAAAAATAATTAAGCAAAGGCAAATCTATTCTTTTAATATGCTCTAATGAAACACATTTACCTTTCTAATAACTGGATCAAATCTTCATACTTTTGCACCATTTTTTTGCCTTCCATAGAATCTAAGGAACTATAAATAAAATGCATCAAACTTTATGACTTGATAATTTGACTGAAATTAAGTGCTAGTCAATAATTTAAGTTACATATGATCCTAATCATGGGTTGCCTTCCAAAGAATTTGTTTCTTTTTCAAACTGTTCACATTGGTCCATCCGTATCAATGATTGCATCACAATAGTTTGGCCTACAGAAATCTACATAATAGTCTTCAGTTGTCCTATCTTTCCTTTCTGCTACTGAAGAATATGAACCAATCTGAAATAACCCTATTTATGTATCTATTCATTTCATAAAAATGACTCTCAATTATATAACAGTGATATATAGAGAGGTAGGTAGGTAGGTAGGTAGGTAGATAGATAGATAGATAGATAGATAGATAGATAGATAGATAGATAG